AAACAAACAAGTAAAAAAAAAAAAAAAAGAAAAAAGAAAAAAACAGAGGCTGAAGGCTATAGGTTAAAATATATTAACCTTGATTCCTTATAACTGGTGGGTACATGGAGATCTATTAAATCTATTAGTCTGTATGAATGTGTGCTTGGCTTTTTTTTTTTTTTAAACTTTCCTACATGTTAATAGCACTTCATTATATGTTAAATTTGAGTAAAAAGAAAATATAAAAGATGCAAAGAAAATGCAGATTCATACCAATTTAGGTGGCAAAAGTCTGATCACGAGGCAGCCAGGTGACATGATAAATACACGTGAGATTTCTGGAAACACTCAAATCTAAGATAACCCACTCTAAAGGTAAAGGCATACCAGCACATTTTCTCCTGGCCAAGGAAAAACGCAAGCGCCTGTGTAAAACTAGACTGAAGGATATACAAGTACTATTTAACTACATCTGTGTTCATCTCAATGAAAGCCAGAGGCCAGAAGGTCATGAACGGGGCACCTCCTGAAGCTAAGCTGGATTGAAGTGGAAGTGACACAGGTGTCCACATTTCTGCTGAGGGTTCAAAACCAACTCCAAGACTTAGGCTTACAAGAACAGCGGTCATTACCAAGGGAAAATTAAAAAAGAGGCCTTTCCTCCCAGGTCCTCTATTAAATGAGCTGAATGACAGTCATTTACAGCCTCATTTTCCAGATATCTGTTTTGATATCTACATATCATAAGACTGTTGTATTAGAGTAAAAGACTACTAATACCAAGTGTGTCTTTTTGGGTCTGTGTTACCTCACTTAGGATTATATATATATATATGTATGTATGTATGTATGTATGTATGTATGTATATTAGTTCCACCCATTTGCATGCAAATTTCATGATTTCCTTGGTTTTACTAGCTGAGTAGTATTCCATTCTGTAAATGTACCACAGTTTCTGTATCCATTCTTCAGTTGAGAGTCATCTGGGTTGTTTCTAGTTTCTGGCTATTATGAATAAAGCTGCTGAACACAGTTGAGCAAAAGCCCTTGTATTGTGGAGCATCCTTTGGGTATATGCCCAGGAGTGGTATACCTGGGTCTTGAGGTAGAACTATTCCCGATTTTCTGAGAAAGCTCCAGACTGATTTCCAAAGTGGTTGCACAAGTTTGCACTCCCACCAGCAATGGACGAGGGTTCCCCTTGCTCCATATCCTTTCCAGCATGTGCTGTCACTTGATATTTTTTTTATCTTAGACACTCTGACTGATGTAAGATGGAATCTCAGAGTTGTTTTGATTTATATTTCCCCAATGACTAAGGATAATGGGCATTTCTTTAAGTGCTTCTCAGACATTAGAGAGTTCTCTTTTTAGAGTTCTAGGTTTAGCTCTGTACCCCACTTTTTAATTGGGCTATTTGGTTTGTTGGTGTTTAATATCTAGAGTTCTTTATATATTTTGGATATTAGCTCTCTGTCTGAAGTAGGGCTGGTGAACAGCAGTGTCAACTAACATAGGCCCATGGGGGCTTATGGAGACTGAAGAACCAACCAAAGAGCATGTATGGACAGGACCTAGGGCCCTGATACATATGCAATTGATGGGCAGCTTGGCCTACACCTGGGTTCCCTAGCAAGTGGAACAGGGGCTGTCTCTGACATGGACTTGGTTGCCTGCTTTTAAACCACTTGCTCCTAGCTGGGCAGCCTTGTTTGGCCTCAATGGAAGAGGATATGCTTAGTTCTGATGGGTCTGGGTGGGCTGGTAAGTGGGGGAGTCCCCTTATTTGAGGAGAGGGGGAGGGGGCTAGGGGAAGAGGGTGGGATGGTGGGGCCAGGAAAAGAGGAGGAATGGGGTGCGTTCAGAATGTAAAGTGAATTTTTAAAAAAGACTACTATTACACCAACTTTCTGAAGACATTTCACCATCTAGCAACATTCCCCTCTCCAAACAAATCCTAAGAACTATCATAGAAGCTGCACACTATTGGTGGAGAGGCCAAGACTGACGTACAGATATTTTGCTGGCTTCATGTAGCATTTCTCTAAAACTCAAATTTTGATAATACTCCCCTCAAAGTCTGGATTTCTGTCTCAGAGGACCTGGCAACAATGAGCTAAGAGGTAGTTGTTCCTGTACAAACGACCGGCCTAACACAGCCCTCACTATTCCCTATCACCCACAATCATCCGCATCGCTGATTCACACTGACTGCCCTGTTGCTATTAGCATTGTAATTTGGGTTTCATAGGAACCACAGCCTGGAAATACTAGAAAGGAACTGATTTGTTACAAAACAAGATTGGGATGTGGAACCAACCAAGTGTGGTGCCACACACCTTTAATCCCAGCCCTGAAGGGCAGCCTGGTTCATGTAGCAAATTCTACATCAGCCAGAGTTACATAGTGAGATCCCGTCTGAAAAAATATAGAGAAAGGGAGATAGAAGAGACTTGAATCTAGACTTTGGAATTATATATATATGTTAGACAAGGAGAGAAAGAATCTGAACAGAAGTCATCCTCCTACCTTTAGCATAGCATTTCCATGATTCTGGGCATATTGCATCAACATATGCAAGCGTTTCCTATGCTAGTGGATTCCTAAAGCCCAGGAGGATCATGACTAACTGCACGCAGCATGGCTTAGGAGGGAGCTGCCTCTGCTTGGTAGTGCCTAAGACTCTCAGAGACTAACTACCTTGTCTTTCATGTGGTGTTTTTATCACCCATGCCTAGCCACAGGAACTCCTTTCAACTTGCTAATGTATCAGAACGTCAGATACGCTATGCCCAGACTCCACCCAGAAAACGAAGCAACGCATGGCATTGTATAAGCCCGGAAGAAAACTGACTATGGCTAAAACCAAATATGTTTGATCCAGAAAGATGAAATTACATATTATTACAAAAGCATTAAAGCACATGCATACACAGAAAACGCACAGAGTAGGGATATTCATTAGCTAATTTCAAGGAAATATAGATATGGTTACACAAAATAAAGTGTACAAGAAATGACTGTAATTGATCCCCCCTTGTACATGAACACACAAATCTACCGATGTACCTATATAACACGCTTACATGCACATACACATCCATATATATACTTGTAGCCAGTTATGAAAGCATGTGGGATACATTGATCCCTGCATGCACACTGTATTAAAAAGAAAAAGGAAGCTGCCACATGATAACTGAGCCCACAGCACATCAGTCTTGGGCCATGTCATGCCATTTTAACAGACCTGCTTTTCCTGATCAAGCTCCATGTTCTTATTAGCGTCTGCAGAGTTTCCAGAAACAGTTACCATCCGAGAGTCCTTTTTCTGAGAATTACAGGATCATTGGTAGAAGAAAAATAAAGGCCACATTCATGCACGATTTCCACAAATTGGCCTTTTCCTCCCACAGATAGACAAGAGGAATGTAAACACTCACCGCAGAGAGCTGGTTCCATGTGGATCTGAGCGGCTTATGGTGAATCACGATTTTCTCCTCTGGCTTCTGTTCTCTGGGCTCTGGATCTTCATCAGAGTCGATGTCAAGGGCCTTTTCTTTGTAGTTTTGATACAGGACTGCATTTTCTCCAAGAAAACAAGTCAGATATGTCAGTAATTGCTCCCAGTAGCTATGCTACTTGCTTTAAACAAAGTCTACATTCATAAAATATTTAGTGTTGGCTTAATTAATAGCTGAAAAAGAAAAGAGAAAATACACATTGTCACCAAAGACTATATGACATTCCAACTGAAGCAAATTTTTTGGTGTCTCTGTCCACTACTCATGAAAGATGGTCAGCCTGAACCCATTGTAACTTAGGCTAATTAAATCCATGTGTCATGTTTTCTTCAGTGTCTATTTAGCAAACGTTTACTGTACATCCATAATTTCTTTTTTTCTAATAATAAAAGTGAAAAGATACTTCTCATCCCCTCATGAACCAATAAGTTAGTAAAAACATGAACTTCATATTCATGCATTTATTCATCCAACTGACATTTAGGAAATGTCTATGAGATGCCAGCAACTGCTAAGCAACTAGGAATACAATGGACAAAAAGATGAGAAATCTCCATGTTCATGAAGCAGACATAAAAATGAAAGAGAACTGAAATAAACAATTAACTTTCATAGTATTTCAAATATGGCTATGTTGTCATGGAGAAAAACAAATGGTGGGAAGGGGTAGGAAATTCTGGGAAGGAAGGAAGTTCGTTTTAAGTGGGGTAGTTTAAGAGGGCCCTCACAGAAATGACATTTGAGGTACAATGTAAGAGTTAAGAAGGCAAGCCATCTGTACAACTGGCGAAAAAGCTGTGTGTGTGTCTGAGTGTGCGTGTGTATGCCTCTGTGTGTGTGTGTTACACAGTCATGTAAGCATGCCTGAGAAGTCAGAAGTCTGGTGTCGGTCTTTGCTTTCCACCTTGCTTGAGACAGACTCATTCACAGCTGCATACACCAGCTCACCAGAGGAACACCTGATGTGCTCTACCACATATGGCTTTATGTAACACAAACTCAAATCCCCATGTTTGGGCTTCCAGCACTCTACTTGCCGAGCCATCTCCCGGCCCAGGAAGGAATTCTTCATGAGAGTGAACCACAACTATAAATGCGTTGGGGCAGGGGTCAGCCTTGTATGCATGGGTAAGGTGCAGCAAGAAAAAGGCCAAAATCATAGACGATCAGAGGTCAGAATGAGTACAGGGCAGATCTTGCTGGGCCACTGACAGGACTTTGGTTTCCCCTCCAAGAGGGATGACAAGTTATTGAAGGGTCAAGGGAACATGCTCTTATTAAATACACACTGACAAAACAGAAGTTATGCGTGTACAGGTGCTCTGACAGAACTGCCAGAGTATGATACAGCCTGGGGGTCAGAGAGGCACCAAAGAGGAAAAATCCAAGCTCTAAATGTAGAGAAGCAGAGAGCTCAGGGAAAAGGCAGATGGACAAATGCTGAAGCAAGAGGAAATAGAAGCCTTAAAAGCAGTAATGAAAATCTCAGTTGTATGACAGATATATGTCGCGGTCAAACAAGGCATGGTATGTTTACACGGATGAGCCACACAGTCCAAATCTAAATAACCTGTGTTAAAGGATTAGATTTTATCCTGAGTTCAAAAGGATTCGGTTTCTTTCACGCTTTAATGATCGTATTTTATACTAAATGCAAGGGAACACACCAGAACCAGGTTTGCTTCAATGGGCTAGTCAAGCACTAGCTACCCAGGGGACTAATTAGGGTGCCAGCAGAGTAGTCAATGAACAGTACGGGAGAGCTGAGCTGTGCCACTTAGAACGGACTGGTGACAGACTGGGTGTGGGAGTAGAGACAAGTAGGGTGGAGCTTTCAAAACCTTGAGACTGTACGGATAGAAGAGATTCGGGCATAATGGGGAAGATTCTGAGCTTGGTATAGGATTTAGGCTGTTAGAAATGCTTTCCCACATCTGTTTTTTTTTTTTTCTCTTGGCAACCACATATCGCTCGTGTGCAATGTGTCTACAGTAGCAGTAGAGCGAATGCAAGACTCTACTATCCTGTGATTGCTCTACATATGAAAATAAAACTCAGTTTCTGCAGTTTTCATTTACTGGGGAGACACAAAACACGTATAATATATATACATATATATAACATATACATATTTATAATATATACATAGATATATCATTGATACTATTTCTCAGTCATTCTTACAAAGAATAGCATCACTCTCATTTCACCCATGAGAGAGTTTAATGATGCACAATTCCTGCATCCCTATCACTCAACTGGTTAGAAACATCAAGAATCTGGCGCAAGTTCTCACAACTGGACAACACTTCTTGCACACCATTAGCTGTTAAGAGTCCTGCATTCTTCACTTACACATGTATTAAAAAAAGGGATGTCTATACCATCATGTATAAGAATAGACAAGATACTCAGAAACAGCTCTTGATAGAAGCAGATAATACAACACTGCCTGTTCTGACTTTAAAACACTCAAAATTTTCAATTCTTTAAGGCATAAACAAAATCAAGCTCAAAGCCAAGAGGCAAAGCATCCTCTGAAGCAGTGGTTCTCAACCTGTGGGTCATGACCACCTTGGGAATAGATGACCGTTTCCTAGGAGTTCCTTATCTGATACTCTGCATATCAAATAGCTACATTACAATTCATAGCCATAGCAAAATTACAGTTATGACGTAGCAACAAAAATTATTTTATGGCTGGGGATCACCAACATAAGGAACTGTATTAGAGGTGGCAGCATTAGGAAGGTTGAGAATGGCCGCTCTGAAGGAAATACGAATTGGAGGGTTGTCAGCTTCACACATACAATACCTCAGGAAAACAGCAGAGGACATGCAGCAGCAGTTCCATGTCCCTCAGCTTGTGTCGCCAGACACGTCACAGGGGCTGAGTTACAAAAATTCCCAAAGCTTCTCATTCTCCCAGTTACAAAATCAAGAAGATGAATTGATTCCAACTAACCAAAATACCATATCTGGGTTTCTTCTCTCCAAATAACAATTATTTTTCTACAATTAATACAACGAATTGATAAATTGCTCATTTGTAGTTATGCAGAAACTATCTTACAATCACCCAAATACTGTTTTTTAAATCTGCATGGTTTTCCATTAGCTTTTCTCATGGAAGGGCAGATTTCCCTTCATTATCCATTAGAGGATGGAAACTCTCAGCATTTCAAAGCGTGACAGAAAGTGAGTGCACTCACTGTCCCCAGGAGCAGCTGGGACTGCTCCCTTCAAGCTCCTCTACTTGGTCACTTGACCCATCTATTTACAGAATCTACTAATCTGATTAGCATGTGAACACCTGGCTGAGGCTGCTTGGGTTTTTGAAATCATTAATGACAAATATACAGGTTAGAAATTTTTAAGATTATGTTCTTTTTTTTCCCCCACCAGAAAAGCTGCATTACACCAAAGGTGAAGCTTAGCAGAAAAACAGGAAGTCAGAAATAAAAATCAAATGTGGAAGTTTAGTGAAAAGAATATTAAGAAAGAAAGAAAAAAAATGTGGCCTAAGGAAATACCACAGAAGATCCAAGCGGCCTCAGAGTGCCTGACTAAGGAGCTTGCTCTGACCCCCATGTTTTGAGGCAGGTGAGGAATGGGGCCAGGGGAAAGAAGAATGAAAGCTCCCAAGATGTGAATTGAGGAAGTTACCAGCTTATAAAAATGCTCCCTAAGGGTTTGCATGATATAATCCAAGACAAAACTGGGTACTTTTGTTTTTCCATCTCAAGTTTTGCTACTGCAATTAGGTCCAACTTATAATTGATGTACCATATTGAAGCTGCAATGAAAATCTGGAAATTTAAATGCTTACCTTCCCCATCAAATGTTCCTTGTCCTTTCAGCATTTTTTTCTAAGAGATGAGAAAAGGAAAAATAAAAAAAGGGAGAGAAAAGCAAACTATGTATGAATGAGCCAAGTAGAAAATACAGCTATTGTTAAGTAAAAGCCCCTTTTTGTTATAGCCCTCAGATTTCCAAAAGCAGAAGGCAGAGAATCCTCAAGGCAATTCAATGCAATAGTAAAATAAAATGGACATCCTCACATCCCGGTAAACTAGAGTAAAAAAAAATCATCAAATGACCAGAGTCCCACTCATTTCACTTCGTGATTTACTCTCACTGTTAAACTGAACTTTGCTATCCTTGACAGCTGGGGTGGGGGAGGGGAATTGCACATAAAATGTTATGAAATGTCTTTTCTTTAAGACTGTATGTCTAACATAAAACAGGCTTGCTTGTGTGTTACATATGAGGCATTTATATAGACTGGTCCCAGTTGTCTGGTTAGTCAAGAAAAAAATGTGATTGCCAAAGGCAATCTTTGCCCTATTGCTTAGACGCGTCTTGTTTCTAAGAAGGTGGCACATACTCCAAAACAACATTTCTCTGTAGTTGTCCCTTTTCCTCTAGGTCACAATGGCCAAATACATACATACATACATACATACATACATATATATATATATATATATATATATATATATATATATGTATTAGTAAGTGCAATTGCTAGGCCTATATCAGGGTACAATATTTCACACTATCACCCAAGTTCTAAGCTATTAGTTTATCAAACACACTCATGGATTAATAACAATAAAACACAAACATGGGACATGGTGATTAAAACAAACTGTTCCATGTTTGGGGTAGCTGATTTAAATTCATTCTACTCGAATGTTATCAAACGTGTCATGCGTGAGCATTCAAAATTTGTCCCCAACACATCCGCCTTGGATTTCATGAATGGCCTGTGAGCCTGCCCAGTCCTACCTTTATCCTTCCCAGGCTAGAGAACTTCTCCTTGTCTTCCAGGACTGCCTTCAGAATAGGCTGGGACATTCTGTTCTTTTTCTTTGAGCTGGTGGGGCTGTCAAAATCAAAGCCGCTGACCACTGCCCTTCGGTAAGACGTGGACCGCAAGCCTCGCCTGAGGGAGCCCGGGCTGTCTATGTCGTTATCAACTTCGCCTTCCTCCCCTTCGTGGCCCAGGCCCTCCACCATGCTGCGCACCTTGAGAAGCCTCCTGTGGGGCTCCACATTCTGACTGTTGGATTTACTCAGCTTAATTTCTGAGGCGAGGCTTTTCGGGATAATCTGCTGCTTTCCCATCTTGAGGGCGGCCGGGCTGTTGGTACTCAAAACCACGGAGGGACTGGGGAGCTCATTCCCTTGGGAGGGCAGCCTTTGGAGAGGCAGGTTTTGCTCTGAGGACCTGGGCTGGGGAGCAGGAGAGAGTCTCAAGGGGCTGGGGTCCAAGTCCCTAGCGGACTGAGCAGTTTGTGATGCTGGGCCAGGTGAGTTGGTTTTAGGGACGAGGCCATTGGCAACGGGCGAACACACCTTACTGGCAGTCACCCCGGCGAGGTCCTCCTCGGGGTCGCAGGAGGCAGGAGTGTCCGGAGTCCGCGGGGCGCTCGGCAACAGCGCCGCGGGCGAGGGCACCGTGCCATTAGCAGGCGACTTCAGGGAGCCGCCCGAGGCGTGAGGAACCAGCGGTGACTTGGGCCGTCGGAGTCGAGGAGAAGCAGTTCTGTAGTCCGGGGACACCGTGCGGCCATTGGTCACCGGCCTCCGATGCGCGCACGGAAGCTGGGGGCTCCTGGACGCCGTCCCGCCGTCCGGCACGCGGGCCGGAGTCTGCGGCGCGGGCAGGGCAGCCAGCTCCTCCACCGGGAAGTCGGTGATTAGCAGCCCGCTGGGGCTCTGGTAGGACTGCGGCCTCGGCTTGCTCCGGCCGAGCAACTGGAGCGGAGAGGTGGACCGTCTCCGCCACAAAGGGGTGACGCCGTGGCTAGAAAAATCCACCTCGCTTTCGCCGTCCATAGCGGGGCCTCTGCGCCGGCCCCAGGAGGAGGAGAGCTGCTCAGGTTGCCCACGAAGAAGAAACTTTGCCTCCGGACGACCGGTCTGGTCTGGGAGCCCAGCCGGCTTCCAGCCCGGCAGTCACAAGGGTGTCGCGCGGGACTCGGCAGCGCCGCGCTTACCCGCCCTTTCCCGGGCACAGCACCGCCCGCCGCGCTGCGCGACCGAGGGCAGAGACCCGAGCCGCAGCCGAGCGGATGAATCTGGTCTCCTCTGCGTCCTTCCCGCGCCCCAAGCCCGCCGGCACCCAGAGAGCTCGCCACCCACTCGCGGCGGGACGCTCGGAAAGAGTTCAGCTGGCTGGGACAGCTCGCCGCGGGACGCTCCCCCGCGTCTCCATCCAGCCGTCCGCCCCGCGCCAGGCCCCGGGCCCCCACTGCACGGCCTCCAGCGCGCTCACCCTGCCGGGCGTCCAGAGCGCAGACCGGGCAGCGCTCCCCGCCCCGTGGGTGGCCTGGGTCTTCTCCGAAGCGCAGGGGCAACAGCGCGGCACCGCGCAGCAGCAGCCCGAGGCGCCGGCCCCGCCCACACGCTAGACCCCGCCCCTCCCGTCCCCGCCCCTGTAGCCCGGGAAGCTCAACAAGAAGAGCCCTGGAGTTCCCGCCCCTGCCTGCCCCGAGTGCTCTGCGGTCACTTCGCCAACAGGACCAGCTCACCTGAGCAGGGTGCCAGGTGAGAAGGCAGGAGCGCAGGTAGAGGAAGACCTTAGGGGCCAGCTGGAGGGCGTGGTCGAGGCTTGGAGCACCGCGTGGGAACGATCGTGAGAGTAGTGCCAAGGTGTATTTTACGATCACCGCCACCTCCACCCCGCTAGCCCTGGAGAAGGAGCATGGAAGGGTGAACCCCTTTGGAACATGGTGCTGCGCCACTTGTCTTCAACCGGAACCTCACTACGGGGTCTCACTCCCCTACTTAAAATACTGCGTGAGTATCTTGGAGACAAGCTGGAGACCTAAGTCAGGGTAGGCTCATGGGGATAGGAGGGGTACTCAAGCAGAGCCTCCTAGTAGAGGAGGCCATAGAGGCTGAAGAGGACGCCCTCTAAACTAGGCTAGTCTCCTGGCAGAGAGAAAACACCAACCCACCTACAGAAACTTCAACCCAAAAGTTCCCCTGCCTACAAGATGTGCAGGGAGAAAGATAACGCAGAGGCTGAGGGAAGGCCCAACCAATGCCTGGTCCAACCAAAGACCCACTCTATCGGGAGAGTGCCAACCCCTGACACTATGAGCGATGCTCTTCGAAACTTGCAGACAGGAGCCTGACAGAGTTGTCTTCTGAGAGGCTCTATCCAGCAGCGCCTCAAAGCATGCCAAGACTCAGCCAAACATTGGACAATGCATAGGGTGTCTTGTGGAAAGGTGGGAGGAAAGAGAAAAGGACATGGAGGTGACGGGAGACCAACAGGGCCAACTAACCAGGGCCCAGAAGGGCTTGCTGAGACTAAAACATCAACCAAGGACCATGCAGCAACTGGACCTAGGCCCCATTCAAAGAGGTAGCAGATGGGCAGCTTAGGCTTCATGTGGTTCCTCTATTAAGGGAAGTGGGGACTACATTGGACACGGACTCACTTGCCAGCTTTTTGATCACTTCCCCCTGGTGGGACTTCCTTGCCAGGCCACAGGGGAAGAGGACATGCTCAGTCCTGATGCAACTTGATAAGCTGGGCTGGATGGGAAAGGGAGCTCTCCTTTTCTGAGGAAAAGGGAAGGTAAAATGAAGGTGAGATGGGTCTGGGAGGGGAAGAGGGCTACAACAAGGACGTAAAGCAAATTAAAAAAATAAATACTGCAAGGACTATAAACAGATTTGCTTGTGTGCAGTCAGAGGAAAACTGGCTGGAAGGCCAAAAGGAACAGGACTCTTCATTTCATAAACTTTGGATCTTGTATGACACACAGTAAAAGTAAACAAAATACAAAATATTTGTTAGTGTGGGATTATGTATAATATATATTGAAAATCAGTGGGTAGAATAAGATAACGAACGTACAATGAGTAAATTCCAAATCTTTATTAGAGATTAAGAGGCTGGTTAGAGGTGGCCCTACTCCTACAGCCTAGTCTTTTCTTACTAGCTGTGCTTAGCCAACCCAAGTCCACAGCCTCAGACCCTTCCCTTTCCTTTCTTGGCCTTCTGGTTTGTGCCTCCATCACAAAGCCTTCTGATTTGGAACACTCCTTTGTTTCCCCAGCCACCTGATATCTTTCTTTTCCACACTAATCAAAATCTGTAAACCGGTATGCTTTTATGTGCTTAATCTATTCTGCCTTTGAAAAAGGCAGGGGGTCATATCTGTGGTCCATGAACACAGTAGATGATAAATATCTGTTGAGTAGGTAAGTAGATGAATAAAAGAAATGAGCTGATACCAGCGACCATTCCTCGTTTAGCTGCTGGTTGACTACGTCCTGGTGAAACTCCTGGTACGTAAGGATAATGAGGAGCCTGAGAAGACAGATGATTTGAGTTGATCAGACCTGTAGAATGGGTTCTGTTAGCGAGACATAGGGGAGTCTCCAACCTTCAGCATTCATGTGAGCACCCCTGTTTAAAGCCATGCTTGTTTCTGCTCTGGGTGATGAAAGGCAGAGCAATGTTTATTGTGTTCATACTTTTCTATACTTACAAAAGCTGTACAATGAAGAGCTTCCTTATTTGAACTAGAAGAAATAACATCAAACGGTTTATCAAAGTAATTCTTTAAAAAGAACTTTACTGACAATTTCATATGCAACAAGGCAGATTCTATGTTCATATATAGACCTTTAATACGGGGAAATTTTATGTCAATAATATTAGTCCTGTGTAATAAATTTTATTTCAGAAAGAGCAGAAATTGATAAATGGAAGGTTTAATATGGATCAGAATACAATTTGTGATCAAAGGTAAAAAACTGTAAGAGATGATGTGAGAAGTTGGCGTCTCTGCAAATCATGTTGGTTCTTGAGTTGTGACTGATGTTTATGAAGAAGATATATTCTGCTTAGCTCCTTCCTGACCCCAAAACAATAGTGTAACACCAAACTTCATTCTTTCAGAACGTTTGGAAATACACACTGTATATTTTAGCCTCCACTTCGTTATTACATACTTGCAAATCTAAGACATAGTCAATAGGTTGTTGTGGGGCTATGTTAAATTGATAGACAAACTAGAGTTATCCATATGAAGGTAACCTTAATTGAGATTCAGCTGTACAACAATGTCTTTGTTATTGATGGGGGAGGGCCCAGCCCATTGGGGTGGGGCCAATTTTACACTGGTGGCCCTGGGTTCTCTTAGAAAGCAGGCTGAGCAAGGCACAAGGAGCAAGCCAGTAAGCAGCACCCCTCCATGGCTTTTGCATCTGCTGCTGCCTTTAAGTTCCTTCCCTGTTTGAGTTCCTGCCCTGATTTCCCTCAACAATGAACAGTAATATGGAAGTGTAAGCCAAATAAACCTTTTCATCCCCAGCTAGCTTTTTGGTCATAGTATTTTGTCACAACAATAGAAACCCCAACTAAGACAGTTGCCAAATGAATTATGAATTAAAAATATGACATAATACAGTGTCATATGGAGTTATTCATACTTGCTGAAAAGACTTTTTAGGTTAGCTTAGACAAATTTTTAATATCATACACATATAAAAAGTGTGAAATATAAGCAGAGTAAATTGGTTAAAGTTTTATACAGCACACAGCTATTAACATGTGTGGCTTTTCTCTCCACAAAAGAGCAGCAATAATACAGTCTTTTTAAAGGGCGTGTCGTAGTCCTGTGTTTGGCATTTTCTTTCTAGCCATTACTAACCATATGCCAAATCTGTTGCCTTCATTATTCTCTGATTACAACACAGAATTCTTTGTTCAATGTAGTTACATGGATCTCTCTCTCTGATTGTATGTGTTTTTGTTGTGGACAAATACAGGGGTAATGATTGCATTGTAATCACAGTAACTTGGCCAATCGCTAATTTGGCCAAGTAATTCAGACCATTACTGCTGAATTACTGGTGTTTTCAGTAGTATACTGCAGGATATATTTCTACATTTACTTTTATTGTGTTTGGCACAATAATTTAGCTAACTTATAGGGCACTGTGTTGATTAGATTTATTGCCTTTGTTGGTATGTAACGTACCATTTATTAACTTAGCTACTCTTCCCACAAATACTTATTTGGTGCAGTTAAAAGTGTTGCAATGAGCCAGGCCAACTTGTAGTTTACAATTTGTCTCAAGTGCCTAAAACATGAGTGACAACAGAAGATGCCCAAATAGAGGTATGCAGAAGGTTTCTATAGAAACCTCTGTTAAGGGGCTACAACTGGGTCAAAATATTTCAAGGTAGAAAAGAACTAATGGGCCTCTAAAAGAGATGTTCTAATGTGACTAAAGTAACTAGGCTACCCACATTTCTTAAGTGTTAACTATAATCCAGTATACAGACCTGATAGATGATTCCTGTTTAGAACTCTGCTTGAAAGATGTGTAGGGCAGCCAGGTGTGGCTACTTCACAGATACTGAATGGGAAGGATTTGGGCATTTGGCCCAGGGAAGACCAAGGAGCATGCTGCTCTTCTTTGCTCCCTTTACTGCAGAGCCTGAGGATGCCTCCATCGGTTAGCTGAAGCACACACCTACAGAACTGCAGAAGCTGCCAAATGAAAGTCTGCCAGTCACTAGGAGCACCATACAGAGGTGCTGTGGATTGAGGAGTAAACTAAGTGTGTGTTGGGGAGGGGGAATGTGAAGAGGGATAGACAAAAGCCCCAACTCCACTGAAGATCCTAGCATTGCAAATTCCAAATGAAGAATTTAAGGATTCTAATCCTTTTTGAAGAGGACCTAGAGCTACCTGGGACTCTGGGACTCTGGGCATGGCAGGAGGAAGTGCATAGCCTGGGCATCTTGCAATGTGTATTGACCTCTGAGCACACCTGGATATGTACACAATCCCTGTGTTTCCCTTGGGGCACAAGTAAGCATTTAACCAATATACAATAACCTTCTTCCCTCAGGCTTTCCTTCCACTTGCTGTCATGGGCCTCCTGCATTTTGAACACTGCTGACAG